TTTCCTCGCAGGTTTCTCTTTTGTTTCATTGTCGGAGCCTTTGTAAGAGCTGTGTGCAGAAAACAGGCAGAAACTGGCCTTTGGGCTAAATCTGGCATATGTGCTGCAGTGGGGTTTTTCTGTCTTTTTTTAAATGTGCTCTGCTCCTGTCAAGTAAACAAGGAAATATTTCACGATGTAAAAATGTGTACACCATAAATGTCCAAGTGCTTTGCGAGTCAAACATGGTTCTGACGACGTTAGTGGCACGGTGGCCCGGCTCAGCACACGACTCATTGGTGCTGACCCATTGCAGTGTAGGGAACAGGCTGCAGGCAGGTGCGGCGCGTGATGGCCGGCTCCTTGGTAAGTAAATCAGCAACATTGTACAAATTCTGACCATTGAACCTGATTTCTAATTACTCTTCTCTTCTAACTTGCAGGTGACAGTGGCTACGGCCTGTTTATGGCGTGTGGCGTTCCGACGGCATGAGGACCCCCCCACCGTGAGGGATTTCAACAGTGAGCAAGCTTCTGTAAAGGCGTCATGCGGCGTTGGAAGAAGACAACAGGCAAGGTCCCTTTTTTTTTTAACAAGGTCTTTGACTGAGCTCCAAATGTCAGACATAGTATGGCAAATGCTCCTCATCACTTGTGTGGATTGCTGGCTGCGTGTCTTAACTGCTTGTTGTCTCTCTGGCATGTTGTAATAGCTCTTTGAATATATCTTTGAACTATCTGTTGTCATGCTTGTTTTTACATGTCTGTGTGGTGATCTAATGCTGCGTTGGTGCTGGCTTGTCAATGTGCTGCTCGCTGACTTGGTGTGTTTTGCATGCAGCATGTGCTTTGATGCATGCATGTGTGCACTGCTGCCTGCGTGTTTTCATTGCTTATGGTCTCTCTGGCATGGGTTATTGGCTCATCTGAATGTGTGTGTGAACTTCCTGTTGTGTGCCTTGTGTTTGTGTCTCTTCTGAGGTTGTTCTGCTTTGATGGCGTTGTTTGCTTGGCTTTGTCTTGGCGGCACCACCATTTCACCAGTGTTGTGGTCAAGTGGTGTTGATGTTTGACGGCGTCTTGAGCAGTTGCAGCCTGTTGAGGAGTGTTTTTGCTCACGTGGATACTTGTTTTCCTCGCAGGTTTCTCTTTTGTTTCATTGTCGGAGCCTTTGTAAGAGCTGTGTGCAGAAAACAGGCAGAAACTGGCCTTTGGGCTAAATCTGGCATATGTGCTGCAGTGGGGTTTTTCTGTCTTTTTTTAAATGTGCTCTGCTCCTGTCAAATAAACAAAGAAATATTTCACGATGTAAAAATGTGCACACGATCAATGTCCAAGTCCTTTGCGGGTCAAACATGGTTCTGACGAAGTTAGTGGCACGGTGGCCCGGCTCAGCACACGACTCATTGGTGCTGACCCATTGCAGTGTAGGGAACAGGCTGCAGGCAGGTGCGGCGCGTGATGGCCGGCTCCTTGGTAAGTAAATCAGCAACATTGTACAAATTCTGACCATTGAACCTGATTTCTAATTACTCTTCTCTTCTAACTTGCAGGTGACAGTGGCTACGGCCTGTTTATGGCGTGTGGCGTTCCGACGGCATGAGGACCCCCCCACCGTGAGGGATTTCAACAGTGAGCAAGCTTCTGTAAAGGCGTCATGCGGCGTTGGAAGAAGACAACAGGCAAGGTCCCTTTTTTTTTTAACAAGGTCTTTGACTGAGCTCCAAATGTCAGACATAGTACGGCAAATGCTCCTCATCACTTGTGTGGATTGCTGGCTGCGTGTCTCAACTGCCTGTTAAGACACGCAGCAGGAGCCGTGTGCTAGCTGCAGATGCTAGCTGCAGATGCTAGCTGCCGTCGCTCGCGGAACTTAGCGTCGAGCTAGCGGGTGTTAGCGGTGGTGAATATCGTTCGCCGCTAGCACTCGCTAGCATCCCGGACAGCTAACAGGGTTAGCAACAACTTGACATGCCCTGTCCCCACCGTGCAGAGCAGGCACCAGCACACGGGCCTAGAAGCCCATAGGTGAAGCTGGATTTCATTTGTATAAGTTTAGCGGTGTTTTATTTATTTATTTATTTATTTTTTGAGCAAAACCTCCTGGCGCTACCTTGTAAGGGCATAATGTGACGTGAACTGTAACTATTGATCACCAGGTCACAACCAATCAGAAGGCCTTTATTGATTTTCCAGGTCTTCGGTGCAACCTGAGGTTTCAAGGTGATGACATCACCAACTGAGACCAACGTCCTCTGTCTTCTCTGGACAACAGGTGAGGTTGAGTTTATATGTTCCCCATCATCATCATCATCAGAGCTGTCATGTAACTGACAGGCGTGTGTCTTGAATATTAGTTCAATATTGTGTGATTGGTGTCATCCCACCCATGTAGACAGTAAATGACTGTACAGGTCACATGACCTGGCTGAGTGCTGCGACTAACAAGAATCTGTGTTGTTGTCATTGTCTCATTTCAGTGTTGATGCACAAACCAGGACAATGAAGGTGGTGTCAGCTGTGATGGTTCAGTGCAGACGCTCAAAGGTGAGTCCACCACTGTGTTCATGTACCTGATCAGCAGCTGCTGCAAGTTATTGATTGTTAATAAGAGCTGGTCAGGATAACCGTGTGGATGGCGTGAACTGTGGGGAAAAGGTGTTGTTCATTTTGAACACCTGGATCAGACTTTTGACCATAAACCTGTTTGCTGTGATGTTGGTGTGGACGATGAGCTGAAGCGCTCCACCTGCCGGAGCTGTCGCTCGCATGCTCCCACCGTGTGTCTCCAGGGTGGAGGAGTGAGGACTGTGGTAATCTCATTGCTTTGTGCCTTTTGTGTATGTCTTGGTCTGTGAGCGCCTGCCTGCCTGCCCCAGAGCTCACCACATGTTACTGCATTAAATAATATCACAACGTTTGTTCATGTCACGCTGCTCCCAGCTGCTTCATGTCACACAGTTTTTGTCCTATGTTTTCTTCAGATGCTGCTTCCATGTCCACGGCTGCCTGCTGCCTGCGTGTCTTCATTGCTTATGGTCTCTCTGGCATGTTTTAGTGGCTCCTTTTGAATGTACGTGTGAGCTACCTGTTGTCATGCTTGTTGTTACAACCCTCCCGAAAACCCCCACTAGGGTACCATAAATCAACAAGTGGCGTAACATAAACCCACACCCAGGAAAACAGCTTTCAGGACCTCAAGCAGCTTGGATGTAAATAAAAGAGACAGACACGACGGTAACGTTTTGAGCTTTCACTCGTATATTGAATATTTTACAGAAGCGAAAAGAAACCACAGCTATCAAATGAAAAAAAAAGAAATTGTCACATGACCTATGGGGCGAATGGATGTTGCCAAAATAACAAAGAAAACCAACTAGAAACAAAAGCACAGTACATAACTAACTAAAGCCACAAACAGGGTACTAAAACTAAAAAAAAAAACAAAAAACCCTGCCTAACTACTCTGCTGAGCGGGCCAGAACACTGACCAAAAAATTACATGAAGAACAACATCCGCTTGACGGATGCACTAACAGAAATTCTCTACGTGTGGTGTATGTATAGAGGCCTCTGTATATCTGCCCCTAGGCCATGGACTCACAAACAGCCAAACATATGACTAACAAAGGAGACCACTACAAGCTGGGGAACTCACCAGACACATAACCAGGGTGAGAGGGAGAGAGAAAGAGAGCGAATGTGAGGAGGAGAGCTTTTATAAGTTTGGTTTGGGGCGGGACATGTCATTGGCAACAGGTGAGTATAACACGGGGGAAGTGCAGCCGGAGGAGAGGAGTGTTTGAAGTCCTGGACCGGCACAGGAACGGATGACTCCTTGGTGTCTGAGGAGAGAAGACAAGCACCTACATCAGGCATGGGCAAACTGTTCCTCAAAGGGCCGTGTGGCTGCAGGTTTTCTTTCCAACCAAGCAGCAGCACACCAGACCTGACTCATTTAATCAACTGATCTCAGTCTTCAGACAGCTGATTGGTCAAACTGTGTGCTCTTGATTGGATGGAACAAAAACCTGCAGCCACACGGCCCTTTGTGGAAGAGTTTGGACATGTCTGACCTACATCCATCACCCCCACACACACGCGCACACACACACACTCCATGCACCTACATTCATACCTACAGACAGTACGTATTACGTAACACTTGTGTTGCTTGGCTTGATGTTGTTTTGCTTTGTGTTTGATGGTGTTGTTGGCTTTGTAACCTGTTGATGAGTGTGTTTGGTCACATGGATTTGCTTCACCGGTCTCTTTTGTTTCATTTCAGGGAGCCTTTGTAAAACCTGGCCAGGAACAGGCAGAAACTGTCCCGCGGGCTGAATCCAGCATATTTACTGAAATGTTTTTTTAAATATGTTCTGTCTGTCAAATAAACAAGTAAACAAAATATAAATAACAAAGCAGAATGTTACATTACATAACCTTTTGATATGTTGTTACATGACACCACATAAGAGGTCAGAACCTAACCTAACGTATCAGAACCTTACATACGTAAGAAACCATAACAGCAGGACATTATGTGACGTACAGTAATGTAGTGAAATGTTCTAGGGTCATGCAGCGATGACAGTTCTCTGTCTCTGCTACAGTGGGTTTCTGTCATTGAGTCCACAGAGACCAGAATAAGAGATGATTGTAGATCCAAGGAAAGGTGTTAGAACCAGGATCAACAAACTCACCAGCCAAAAACTACATTTGCTTTGAGAATGAACTGACACACACTGGTAGAATGATGAATGATGGTTCACTTGATGAATGATGGTTCACTTGTAGAAGGATGTTTTGCAGTTGTAGAGCTGCAGCTTCAAGTCTCTGAGCAGAGTGCAGAGGGGTTTGTTGATTGGCTGCTGCCTGCACGCACCTGGGGCCGTGGTCAGTATGTAAAACAAAATGGTGTAGAGTTTGTGCCTTGATGCGTGCACGTGTGGACTGCTGCCTGCATGTCCTCGTTGCTTATTGGCTCTGGTATGTTTCTTCTCTCTGGGCTGTCAGGATGCTGGCACGATGCGGGATTTGAACCTGCAGCCTCAACACATGGGGCAGCTGCTCTACCAACTGAGCTAAAGCGAGTCTGGTGTTCCTTGTGTGGGAATACCTGCCATCTTCTCTTCATCACACACTTTTCACCTGTGACACGTGCAAAAAGCAAAACTTTCCAGACTTTTCTTGCAGCTGAATTGGCACCAGTGATCCAGCACTTTGCTCTTAGTGAGGAGTGGACGTAATATCTCCCCCATTTGCCTTTGACGCCATTTGGTAAGATCAGTTTCTTCCATTGCATTGTAAAGATCCGTTGATAGTTGCCTTGAACTTCTGCATTTGGTTTTTCAGCCATCTCACTTTTCCTTTCACGACTCCATGTCTCAGGAAACTGCCCTTGTTAAGCTGTGCCTCTCTGCATAATGGCAGTAGAGCTTGTTAAGTGCAGCTGCCAGTATATCTTATGTCTTGACAAAGGAACTGGCCCACCAGTCCAGGTTTGACACTTTGTGAATGTGTCTGCATTCATGCCTCTAGATGCATAGTCAGCAGGTTTCAGCTCAGAGTTCACATACAGCCACTGACTTGGCTTAGTGTTGTCTGTGATAAGTGACACTTAATTAGCTACAAATGTGCCAGTGATGAATCAACAGTGAATTTGACCCCTGTTCACCTCTGGTGTGAAGGCAGGTGACTGTGGTGACTGTCCAAAAAAGAAACTTCATTAGTCACATAATGGCGGCTTGAGGATTGAACTTGACTCAGTTCCAGGTAAACCAAAGCACTGTGCAAGGCTCTTCTCTTTTGGGTGATGTTCCCATTTATTGCAACAAAAAGGATGGTGACAACAACATCACGCTACCATGAAAGTTGATGTGGACTGGAGCACAAAAAACACTGGCTTTCATCCACCACCAACTCACAGTGATTTCCACCTTACTTCATACACCTGCTGCTGGGCCCTTACTGAAACAGAACTGTACTACACCCTAGTGGTCAAAATGGGGCATTTACACAAAACATAAGTGAAGAATGACTCAACTCCATAACCTTTCTCACTTGTGTTGTCAAAGTGGTGCGTGTGAACCAGCTGGTTTAAGGTTGAAACCATGCAGCTTCTTGAGAGCAGAAATCCACCTCTGTGACCTTTGAGCCAGTTCAGCAGGGATATCCTCATCCCAGGAGATTACAGGATACATCTGAGGACTCTCTCATCAGGTAATGCATCATGACTGATGTCTGAACAAGTGTAAGTCAGACACGAGCTGTTGATGCTCTTTATGAAACTCTGTTTTTGACAGGTTTATTGTAGCTGCTCTGCTCTCTGAACAACTAAACTGTAGCGGTAAGGCATTTGTTTTGCAGCTTTGTTTCTCAGGGGACGACCTGTACTATAGTGTCTTTACTCAAATGACCTGGAGTCAAGCATGAAAAACACAGTCCTTGTCCTCTCAGAAAGTCTACCCTTTCTTTATTTGGTTGTTTTCTGCTTTCTTTGTTTTTTCACAGTACACACACGGCTTCTGCTGATGAGACAAGAGGAGGTTTTACAGTTCTCAGGTAACGTCTCATTTGCAGCTGGTGCTACACTCGTGGCAAATGTAGTCCCCTTGGCCTGCATGCTCGAGTCGTTGTCACGTTTGCATAATGTTTTCCCTCACATTCATTATCCTTTATGTCACAAAAAGAGCATATGCAGCTGTTTAGCTCGTCGGTTTAAGACTCTGAGCAGATGTAAAAATCTTGGTCTCTTTCCACTTCTTGCGTATCAAACGTAGCCACTCTCCACATCTTTCTCATTTTGTATGGTCTGTTGAAGATGATGATTCTGAGATGAGTGGGATTCTCCCACTTCTTGCAACTGGCAACCAGTTGAAAACAGGGAGTAACTATGGAGAGTCTTTGCATCATCTGGTTTAATTTGCAGCAAGTTGAGAGCCCTGTTCATGTAAGCAGTTAAGATATTCACTTCGTTACCATAGTGGTAAGTTATCAGTTTTCTTGTTTCACTGTAGCCTTGGACTCATCCTGACTACGTCTCTGGACTCACCTCTGCTCAGCTGTTAAAGGTAGTGTATCATGTCACTGTCATGATCAGGTTTATGCCCCAGAAAGGATCGAAAGTCAAGGGGATCACCAGTGAAAACAGGTATGTCTCTTTGGGGCAAACGGGTCAGTTTCCGTTGTTTGACTAAAATCCCAGTGGCGTCATTTTGTTTCAGCATCACTTCACACAAGTTTACTGGAGTCTGATGTCACTATGCTGGGTGACATCTTTTTTTGTCATTGGATCATTTGCCTGTGACTGTTCAGTGTGTTCATATTTTACTATTGGCTCTTGCCTGCGCAGCAGCCGATTGTCTAGTAGGCTTGTCTCAAGATGAGCAGTTAAATGTTGGTGATTCTCATACTCACAAATTTCCGGGACTTTTATTTTGGCGGCAGAGGAAGCAATAGCTGTCTCGATCTCAAGCTGATCTTTCTTTGTCAGCAGCTTTGCGTTCCTTCAGTGCAAATACCTCTTTGTGTTTCAGGGATGCTGCCAGTGCAAATAAGGCACCATGCTCTGTTCCTTCTGACGCACAGGTGAGGTGGATGATCTGGAAGAACAGCCTGTAGTTGTGCTGTGTGCAACACAGAGACCAGAGTTATTTCCTGTTAGTGTAGCGAGCAACTGCAGACACACGACACACTCATCTGGACGCACGTCTTCATGACGTTGTTGCCTTGATGCAAGTATCCATTTCTCAGCTTTATTAATGCAGTTGTTGAACTGTTCCTTTTTGGTTTGAACCGGTACATTTGACTTTTCATAGTCAGGCAACAGTCTGACAGCACCTTCGTTTACAGGAATCAAGGCCTTCAGAAGATTGGAGCTTTCAGGTAAGTGTTGATGAACAATATCTGGACTCTCATTGTCTTAAATGAATCCATTAATTTGATCATGTTTTTGATGTCAACTGTGAAAACGTGGATTGTCTTGTATTTGTGAGCGTGCTGATCAGCTCTTCTTCTGGTCTGCATTGGTGCCCTCTTGTGGGCGGTCCTTCTGCTGCAGCTCTATGTTCTCTGCCTTGCATCAACGTATCATCCACCATGTTGGATGTTTACACAACTTGTCAACAACAAATGTTCATGAAAATGTTCTGAGCTGGCTGGCTTTCTGAATGAATGCCACCTTCTGTCTCATTTAGTGAAGAGCATCACACCCTAACTCATTTCTGTCCCATCCTGTTCCCTTCCTGCGACATCATGGCAGTCCAGTGGTCATGTCCATGAGCTGGTTGTTTCACTTGATGTAGTGTTTGTCTTGAGCCGATATTGTTCTTACTTTGTTCTGTTTCCTTCTTAAGAACCGTGTTGGACGACATGACACCGAACTACACATGGAGTTGGTTTGGTGGCGACGCCTATAAGTGAACAACTGTAGTGCTCCACCATCCACCGGTTTATTGCTTCAACTGAACTTTCACAATAAAATTCTACTTCCTGTTGGTTTCCTGGTGGTTTGATACAGGTCTATGTAAACTGTGCAAGACGCAAACAACATCTCCAATGTCTCAATCATATGAATCAGCAGGGATGTTCAACAGCATTATCTGAACATATACTGAAATGATTGCTTATTGTCAATCAAAAACATGACGTGTAGATGATGAATGAAACATGTCACTGACACTATCACATCAAAACGTGATGTAAGTTAACATGGTTTTTGTCCTCATGTTTTCTTCACATGCTGCCTCCATGCTCAGGTCTTGTGCAGTGTCAGATGCCTCTGTGTGGTGATCTAATGCTGCGTTGCTGCTGGCTTGTCAATGTGCTGCTCGCTGACTTGGTGTGTTTTGCGTGCCGCATGTGCTTTGATGCATGCATGTGCTTTGATGCATGCATGTGTGCACTGCTGCCTGCGTGTTTTCATTGCTTCATTGTTTTAGTGGCTCATCTGAATGTGTGTGTGAACTTCCTGTTGTCTGCCTTGTGTTTGTGTCTCTTCTGAGGTTGTTCTGCTTTGATGGCGTTGTTTGCTTGGCTTTGTCTTGGCCGCACCACCATTTCACCAGTGTTGTGGTCAAGTGGTGTTGATGTTTGACGGCGTCTTGAGCAGTTGCAGCCTGTTGAGGAGTGTTTTTGCTCACGTGGATACTTGTTTTCCTCGCAGGTTTCTCTTTTGTTTCATTGTCGGAGCCTTTGTAAGAGCTGTCTGCAGAAAACAGGCAGAAACTGGCCTTTGGGCTAAATCTGGCATATGTGCTGCAGTGGGGTTTTCTGTCTTTTTTTAAATGTGCTCTGCTCCTGTCAAATAAACAAAGAAATATTTCACGATGTAAAAATGTGCACACGATCAATGTCCAAGTGCTTTGCGAGTCAAACATGGTTCTGACGACGTTAGTGGCACGGTGGCCCGGCTCAGCACACGACTCATTGGTGCTGACCCATTGCAGTGTAGGGAACAGGCTGCAGGCAGGTGCGGCGCGTGATGGCCGGCTCCTTGGTAAGTAAATCAGCAACATTGTACAAATTCTGACCATTGAACCTGATTTCTAATTACTCTTCTCTTCTAACTTGCAGGTGACAGTGGCTACGGCCTGTTTATGGCGTGTGGCGTTCCGACGGCATGAGGACCCCCCCACCGTGAGGGATTTCAACAGTGCGCAAGCTTCTGTAAAGGCGTCATGCGGCGTTGGAAGAAGACAACAGGCAAGGTCCCTTTTTTTTTAACAAGGTCTTTGACTGAGCTCCAAATGTCAGACATAGTATGGCAAATGCTCCTCATCACTTGTGTGGATTGCTGGCTGCTTGTCTCAACTGCTTGTTGTCTCTCTGGCATGTTGTAATAGCTCTTTGAATATATCTTTGAACTATCTGTTGTCATGCTTGTTTTTACATGTCTGTGTGGTGATCTAATGCTGCGTTGGTGCTGGCTTGTCAATGTGCTGCTCGCTGACTTGGTGTGTTTTGCATGCAGCATTTGCTTTGATGCATGCATGTCTGCACTGCTGCCTGTGTGCTTTCATTGCTTCATTGTTTTAGTGGCTCATCTGAATGTGTGTGTGAACTTCCTGTTGTCTGCCTTGTGTTTGTGTCTCTT